CAAAAGTGTTTTTCTCCCCCCTGTTTTTTTTTTTTTTTTTTTTTTTTTTACTTTTTTAATCCCAGGGCAACTTTTCAAGCAATAACTTTTCAATATATCTCATTCTCATTTACTTTTGTTAGATTTTTTTGTTTGTTTGTTTCTGTTTTTTTTTTCTTTTAATTATCCTTCTGCAAAGCTATGTATTAAATATTTTATGTTTAGAAATACACTGAGAGAAACAAATTCACATTCACAGGCACACAAGTACTGGTGATTAAAGAATGCTTTTAATCTGCTATGTTTTCCCTTAAGGGCAAGTATGGTGTACAGTAAATTGATTTTCAGGTGTTCAAATTGAGGAATTCTTTTTTCATTTATTTATTTAGAGAATCACTTATTTACAAGTACTAAAAACTGGAAAACTGGACCTGTGAACACTGGGCACAGACAATCTACTACTGTGTATGACAGTTAGGTATATATAGTTCAAGGTTAATCATCAACAGTATGCTGTGAATTCCTCAATCATTTCATTTAACTTCATTGTCATATTGTGTCATGTTATTTAATTTGTTTTGTCAGGGTTTTGTTGAAACTTCTCTACTGAAATTGCAACCTATCTATTAGCTGAATAAAACTTTTGGAATTCACTTACAAATGAATTTCGTAGTTTCAGCATCCTTGAAGCAAGATAATGAAAAAAATATGATCATATAAAAAATTCAGACTTGATATTCAGATTCTTTGTATTTGGGCATGTACTTTTTAATAATGTATATATGCATTTTGTTTAGGATTAGGAAAGGTGCATACATGTTAATATTTTTAAGCAAGCTATATCTATTCCAAATTCCAAATTTACCTAAGCAATCTTCAGTCTCTCTTACATGGGAGAATTTTTGTTTATATTTGTTGTATTGTCATTGTCATACCATAAAAGCAAAAGAGTGTGATGTTCACAGACTGTGGTGTTCATGTTCCAGAGAGTGGCCATGACCTCCATATTAATTATGACCAAATTCTGATGGCATCTGTTAGTGTGTCTAGTGTGAGGTTCCCTGTATGTCCTCTATGCAGCAGGCATTATCTGGCAAAAAAAAAAAGGCCAAAGTCAGTACCAAGGCATTTACAAGTCTGTCTAGGCCTCCAAAAGAGTCCACTCAGTTAGTTAAGTGCTCAAGTCCCTCAGAGGGCTCAGAGTTCCTCAAGTCCCTTTTAGGCTTAGTTCACATTATAGAGAAAAGCAGTAGGTCCACAACTGCATAAGTTCTGGTAGTTATTGTGGTAGTTAATTCAGAACATCAGAAGTCTAAACTGAAGTCTCTCTCAGTCTAGGAAGATCTGGATGAACAGTTCCCCTCCCAGTGTAAGAGCTAGAAGCACCTGAATACTTTGAAGAGACAGGGACTTTCAATTTGCAGATACCTCTACAAGGTCGGCAACTGCAACAAATGAGGAAAGGCAAGAGCCAGCTACAGGAAGCTGTCTAGCCGAGTCGGGAAAACTGAAAATTGAAAACGCATTGCTACATTCAAAAGATAGTTAGTACCACACTGAATGGGAATCATTCATTTTCTGATAAAGTAATAAATGGAAAAAAAAGTGATGGCTTTGATGAGGAATGAAAATTCTATCTGTTGATAGAACGGATTCTATTTGTTGTTTTGAAGCTGAAAATCATTATTTTGAAATTATATTTTCTTCACTGAGCTTTCTGCTTTAAGTAAAAAAATATTTTGGGAGTGTTCCAAAACTAACAGTCTAATTAACTAAAATAACATCTAACTAACTAAAATAATATCCATCAGTTTCCATATGCAGTATGCAAATTCTCTATTCATTATTTTAAAATATACCTAAGTATAAAGATATATGTAATTTATTTGAAACATAGACTTGAAAGAAACAAAGAAAAAAATGTAATTTAAATGCCTATATTCTCAAATTGGTAATTTCTGCACCTCACAAAATTATGGGTAAATTTGTAATTATTTTGACCATTACAATGAATGTCATGCATACCTTGTAACAAATGAAATAATTTTGGCGAGAAATGCTTGTTGCTTTGCCTAAAAAAGGGAGAATTTTATACCTTGTATATTCAGTCATAACAATGTATTTACTGTGATTCAGCTTAGAATCCCCACTTTCCATCAGTATCTCACCACAGTCATGCTTTTTTGATCATTAATGATACCTTCAAAACAGGACCATAAATTACTCATTCACCTTTTCATTGTTTATTAGCAACTTAATATACATTTTTTCCAAATCACTCTATGAAATATAATGGAAATACTATGATATTATGATTACAATATAATATAATATTCCAGGAGGAATAATCCGTGATTCATGAGGAAACACTCAGTGACCTGCTACTCTACTTGGATACTCACAAATCCTTGGGGCCAGATGGGATCCACCTGAGGGTGCTGAAAGAGCTGGCAGAAGTGATCGCCAAGCTGCTCTCCATCATCTATCAGCAGTCCTGGCCTACAGGAGAGGTCCCAGATGACTGGAGACTTGCAAATGTGATGGCCATCTACAAGAAGAGTTGGATAGAGGATCCAGGGAACTACAGGCCTGTCAACCTGACCTCAGTATCAGGGAAAGTTATGGAGCGGATCGTCTTGAGGGTGATCACACAGCATGTGCGCGACAGCTAGGGTATCAGGCCCAACCAACACGGATTCATGAAAGGCAGGTCCTGTCTGATCAACTTGATCTCCTTCTATGGCCAGTTGACCTGCCTACTGCAGGAGGGAAAGGCTGTGGAAATGGTCTACTTAGATTTTAGTGAGACTTTGACACAGTCTCCCACCGCATTCTCTTGGAGAAGCTGGCAGCTTATGGCTTACACAGATGTACTCTTTGCTGGGTGAAGAACTGTCTGGATGGTTGGGCCCAGAGAATACTGGCAAATGCAGTTAAATCCAGCTGGCGACCAGACAAAAGTGGTGTTCCCCAGCGGTCAGTGTTCAGGCTGGTCCTCTTTAATGTCTTTATCAATGATCTGGAAGAGGGGATTGAGTGCATCCTCAGCAAATTTGCAGATGGCACTAAGTTGGGAGGAAGAGTAGATCTGCTTGAGGGTAGGAAAGCTCTACAGAAGATTCTGGACAGGCTGGATCGATGGGCTGAGGCCAACTCTATGAGTTTCAATAAAGCCAAGTGCTGGGACCTGCACTTAGGTCAAAACAACCCCATGCAATGCTACAAGCTTGGGGCAGAGTGGCTGGAGAGCTGTGCGGCAGAAAAAGACCTGGGAGTGTTGGTTGACAGCCGGTTGAACATGAGCCAGCAGCGTGCCCAGGTGGCCAAGAAGGCCAACTGCATCGTGGCGTGTATCAGGAATAAGGTAGCCAGCAGGACCAGGGAAGCGATCGTTCCCCTGTACTTGGCTCTGGTGAGGCCTCATCTGGAATACTGTGTCAGTTTCAGGCCCCTCACTACAAGAAAGACATTGAGGCCCTGGAGGATGTTGAAAAAAAGGGCAATGAAGCTGGTAAAGGGTCTGGGGCACAGACCTTATGAGGAGCGATTGAGAGAGCTGGGATTGTTTAGTGTGGAGAAGAGGAAACTCAGAGGAGACTTTATCACTCTCTACAAGTACCTGAAAGGAGGTTGTAGTGAGGTGGAGGTCCATCTCTTCTCCAAAATAACTACTGATAGGACAAGAAAAAATGGCCTTAAGTTGTGCCAGGGCAGGTTCAGGCTAGACATTAGGAAGAATTTCTACACAGAAAGAGTGGTGAAGCATTGGAATAGGCTGTCCAGGGAAGGGGGGGAGTCACTGTCCCCAGCAGTGTTCAAGAAGCATGCAGATGAGACACTTAGGGACATGGTTTAGGAGGTATGATGTTGAAGGGTTTACGGTTTGACTCAACCTTAAAGGTCTTTTCCAACCATAATGATTCTATGATTCTAATATACTGCTATTCCAAATACTAAAGCAAATTATTAATTCATTTACTTTATTCGAGTCATCCACTGAAATAATGAGTTATTTTAAGTCAATAATAATAAATGTGATTTAACATTAAAACTATTTTAAGATACTTTTCTGCTAAAAGTATATCCTATAAAAAAGCTTATATAATTCATCTCCACTACAGAAAAAGCTACTACAATGGTCTGTGATAATATTAATCTCTTATGCAACTACAAATAATTAAAATTAATTAAAATTAAAACTAAATAAATTTAAAAATATAAAAAAAAATCATTTGGTTTAACAATTATAGGCATACATCCATATAATATACATATTTTCTTATTTATTTACAATGGACCAGAATTCCATAAACTGTTATCACAAGTTTCCCAATCATTTCAAGTGAGCTTGACAAACAATTTACATTATTGCCTTACAGTTCTGCTCTGAGCAGAAGGATGAGGATCACTAACCTCAGATAAAATGTAATTAAACTGTAGACTAAAACAATTTTTTAAATCCCACTTTGAATTTAGGCAAAATTTCTCAATTTTCACAATTTCTTCCCTCATTAGCATTAAATATTCTTAAACTGCACCTGAGACTAAATTAATGCCTGCCTTTGTTCTTGGCTGTTGCATGGTGGATCCATTCTGGCCAATGCAACATCACGCAGATGGATGGGATGGACCTCACCTGCTGGGCATGGGATGGCACTATCACAATGGAGTCACTCTATGTTTCTAATAGCAGAATAATACTTTCATAGAAACAAATGTGTAAATCTAGAAGATGATATAATTTACTGGGAATTGAAAAAGCAGCTGGAACCTTTGGCAATTACTGCTATTCTTGCCTGCCATTGAGTGTTTACTCTAAAAGCATCTGTAGCACTGCAGGCAACATTTTTTTCTCTCTCTCTGAGTGAAGAACACTGTGGGCTAAGTGTTGAGTACCTCACATTTCCTTTGAAAACAGCATGAAAACTTTCTAGTTTTGAAACTTTTTCCTTTATTGCCTTTTGAGGCAGAAGATAAAATTGACAAATGTACAAGTGTACAAATTATAAATATGCTATGTGGTTGCTTTCCTGGTTTGAAAATAGATTGTAAACACATTGTCATATTTAAGGTAATTTGGAATTCCCATTCTGATATTCATCTGCATAAAATTAGTTAATCTGCAGCTAAAAATATTCTTTTTTTATTCTCAGTAAACCTCTTATCCACTCTGTCCTCTTTCATATCTCATCTTTATTATGAATATCTAAATGAAGGTTGAAACACCCTAGAACTATGTAGCCAAATTTCCTCTCAGACAATCTGGCTGTGTATTGTCAATAAATTTCTTGATTTTTTTTCATCCTATTTTCCTATTATTATTAAGGCATAAACGTTTCATGATAGTATATGTGTCATTAACAATTAAAAAAATCCACAGCTCTAAACCCTCGATGTAACTTTACTGAATATGTTTCACCAGATAAGAAAAGATATCTGTTTCACTGTCTTGAAAATCCAATACACCTCACAATTTTTTTTGCAGTCTTACTCTGGTTCTTGGTGAAGATGCAGCTTACTGTATTGTAAGTTAACAAATACCTGTGTGTTAACAAAGGCACAGCTGAAGATGTAGTGGCTTCATTTCTTGCTGTGTTTATTCACTTACCTTTTCTAAACACTTTTGTCATTTTTAATGGGTCTTCATAGTACTAGCAAGAATCAGTACCTGTTGAATCTCCTGCTGTATCATCAGGGAGAGCATCTTACATTGCTTTACAATAGGCAAACTTTCCCTATATATTTTAAGTCCTTGGGATGAGTACAGAATGCTGTACACACATACACTGTTTGAAATCAGCATGACAGCTTACAAGAGTGAAGGCAAAATACCTGAGTATATATTTCTAAGTATAGCTACACAGAGTTATACACAAACAGCTGACAGGTGTTACTGGCAAGTTTTGTTAGACAGATTACTGGGAAGAGCAATCTATGTCACCTATAAAAAGAATGAGAAACTTGGGAGTAACAGAGGAAGAAGATTAATTTGAATGAAGATATCAAACAAAACAAAAGCATAACAATCAGGAAGAAGATTACTGGGACTCTTTGATAGTGATAAACAACTGAGCACTGAACATGTTAATGGAAAAGAATAGGACTCTAGGAAAGACTTTTTTTCTTTTTCAAAACAAAGTTGTGATACCAAGAACTGCATTTCTGGAAGGCTTTTGGACAGTCTATGGAGAAAAAGATGAAAACAAAAGGGTAAATTAATTAAAATAGTGTCAGAGAGCCAAAATCATATTTTGCAGTAGATAAAGGGAGGAGAAAGTAGTTTTAGGAGATATCATAAATAGAAAACAAAGCATTACCTGCTCCATTATTTCTTGGTAGAAGGTTTTATAAAACAGAATAAGGAAAAATAATGGAAATAAATATATTAGGAGCAAAAGCATATTTTTAACTGTCTTCTTATATTCCTACACCTTCTCTAGGGCAATATTTCTATGGAAGCTCTCTGACTGGTCTTATTTCACTTGGCTTTGAGACCTTGAAATAAACATTCAGAATATCTAAAGGTAATTTTTGAATCATACTGAATTTTTTCTCCTATTTGTGTCCTATTTTTTACTTCTTTTACCACACACATTATTGAAGAGCAAAGAGAACATTCTTGTATGTCCCTATCTTGGTTGCATTAAAGGTTTTTAACTCTGAACTATTTGAGTTTTTCAGCACTTCTTATGCCTTATGCTATACATCGGGGCGAAGTATGCATTGAGGTTTATCACAGCCTCCTATCAATGCTGGAAAAAGAAATGGACAAAAATGAAACAAAACACACACAAATCTTCCTTTGCATTAGGCCCAAGATTTATGTAATCTAAGTAGGGACAAATTAACTTCTTCAAAGTCAATGGAGAAAGAATTATACTAGAAATCAGATGACCTCATTTGTTATACATGCTTCCTTTTCTTTGTATTGATTAGCACTGGAGCCTCTACATCTGCTCTGTGAGTAAACAGATTTAGGCAAAATTTGTTAGCATAGACACAAGTTCAAGTTTAAGATGTAAAGTTTTAATATGCTAATCAATTCATTTTCTTTAATATATTCATGAAGTTATATACCTAGAGCCAATGTAATGGAAGGAAAATCAGGTTGATAGAGTTGTAACGTAAATAAAAGAGCACAAAGTTAAAGTCCTGAAAAATATCTGTGTATTTATCCCCATTTTATTAGAGACAATGTTGAAGTCAAAATGGTCATGCATATAAAAATAGTTCAGTAAAAACAAATTCTTTGCTATTATTTCCTACTTTCAAAATTAAATCAGGCTTGTTTTTGATATGGGCCTCCTAAATTTAGGGAAGATTCCATACAAGGATTTTGAAGATTAACCCATTTTCTTTGGTTTATTAGCAACCGAGTAAGCAAAAAGATTTGACATGCTACTGCTACAAAATCTGCATGTTTCCTTCAGCTGGGAACAGTTGCATCATTTTTGTGATAATGCCAGTTTGTAACAACGCTCCCAGGAACATTATGGCAGTTATGAAAATAGAACATACTAAAGGCATTTCCTGAAGGATATGGAGCTGTTCGCTGTAAATATGAATACTAACAAGCTGCTAAAGCACTCTGTCCTCATAGTTGATACCTTCTCAAAAACAATTTGATAGCCAAAGGCTCTTATTTTTTACTTCATATCAAAAGATATGAAGCGATACCACTTAGAGCTTTATTGCCTCAAGCATTTGTAATCAAAGAGATATTGTTACACGTTCTGGAAGTTCTCCAGGCTGATCAACCACTTTCTGCATAGATTTTTATTCTTTCATCCCTATCAAACATTCAGTGCCTGCCTGACAAAAAGAAAAATTTTGATTTGCCTTCCAGTGCTGCATTAGAAGGGAGAGAGGAGAGCAAAATATATTGTTAATACTAAGTTAATAGCAGAACAGACGGTTTTGTTTTGTTTTGTTATTCCATTGAAACTAAGATGCAATTTTGTCACATGATTTGTTATAGTTGTTGGTCAAATCCTGGTATTTTTCCACTGTTACCACTTAGTGATATCTGAGAAAATAGGTTAGCTTAGTTAGCATAAGGATACACATTAATCACCAGGTATCATCGTATTATTATTTACAGTATGTTTCAGGCTTTGGTATTACCAATGAGCATTTGTAATGTTAATGTGGAATTAGAATACGTTGTATGGAATTCAATGTCATAAGGTATTATAATATAATGTATGTTATCAGCCAAATAGATAAAACTTTTTATTAGGTATTTTCTCTGAAGCTTACTCCAAGGCCCAAATTTGACAACACTGCATCAGGTTTACTTATTGCTCCAATTGCTCAGGAAAGAATTTGAATAATT